AGCCTTGTGCACAAAAATTGCTTGCCTCAAGGTAGACACCAAATCAATAAATCGCCTCATGTAAATGCATCTTTATTAAAGATTCTTTAAAGATGTTAATAAATTTAGTGTTCTTTTTATACCATCTTGAATTTTTGTTGAGAGTGTATCTGCGAGCCAACAATCGAAATAGAGAAAGAGAATTTAAAAAGGGAAATGCTGGATTTTGCATTAAGGCCCGTCTACATACAACTTTGGCGTTGCGTTGGCGTCGCTTCGACAGCTGACTATGAATACACGAATTCAAATGCAGTTGTCCACATAGCCGAAATTTGGCAAAGCTAACGCCAACACAAAGCCGAAAGATGGCCAACGCTCAACCCTTCCCGTGCGTCGTTCGTCAGCTGTTGCAAATAATTAAAATTATGGGAAATATTTTTCCTTTTTAGACAAATGCGGGCAGAAAATATCGTTTTTAATGCAATTATTATATGTATGTTGATTTAGCGGCCAAAGCACTGGCATTACCCGCGCTGCTGTCGAAGCAACTCCAACGCCAACGCAATGCCAAAGTGGTATGTGGACGGGCCTTTAATAGTACGATTGCATGTACTTAGACAAACAAACCAAAAATACTTATCTGTGTACATAGTAGACGCGCGCTGGTAAAGTGTCGTAGACAAATTGAGATTGAAAATGAAATGGGGACCCATCCGAACATGAAATGACAGAAGTGTAAAATGCCTGTGACTGTGGCTTAGGTTTATTCGTTTACATAACCTGTTGTGAAATAAAGGTAGAGTACTTAGTAAACATTTGCGTCTACCGGTTGAAGATAAATAGATTTCTCGTGAGCAATGATAAATCGAACACAATGTTTCTGTTACACTTCTCTCAAAGGATTACAGTCTATCGGCATACAATGTTTCAAGCATTTTTTATTCATATAGCATCTAGTATGCCATGGAAAATGGCATATGCCACAGGAAAATTTTGCAATCTCTTTTTCGAAGGCACCGTTCGCTCGATTTCAATGAAACATACATATACCGATTTAAAGGTAGTCCCGATACATAGGGGGCGTGGCATCTGACATATAGAATAAAATCTGAAAACCACTATATCTCTAAAACTAATTATGCTGGGGAACGAAAGTGGGGGTGGCACTTCACATACAAACTGAAATTCTCATACCGCTTTTCTCTGGAACCGCTTATGCTAACGTCCTGAAATTGGACACAGAAGCGTATGCTGAGAAAAAATTGGATGGAAATGTCCGCATTTGCGTTCAACCTTACTAAAGCGCACCGTGCGTACCAGTGCCCAAAATTTTTGAGAAAAATGATTAAAGGCTTAAAATTTAGAATAATCGAGTATGTAGATGTGCTCCAGCGTTCATTGTAGATGACATACTGAAAAACTAGCAATATTCGTTCACCAAGTTCGCAGAAATTTCAAACATTCTGACACGACCCATCATTGAGCTTCCTAATAGTGTAACGTAGCCAGCGCACATTCGAATGCCTCTAACTTTGATACCAAATCCTTTCTTTTACGGAAACATATATTTGACCATTCCTTATTAGGTCACATAAAAAACCCACATGGTTTTCTGTTGTTTAATGGACAGTTGATTCATACTGTAAAGAAATTCGTACCAGTGTAACGTTGCCAGTCAAATAGTCGACCATATGTATGTATGTATTTTTTTGTTTTATTCACATCGATTTAGTAGGTACATACTAAAGGTCTGCAAATATACCAGCAGAAATACTCTTCACATGTGTACATGAGTAAATGGAACATAAATTTTAGAGTACTAAAAAAGATAGGAAGAAAAAAAGAGAACATCATAAATTTGAATAACTGAGCAATGTTACTCAACAGTGCTCTGCTACATAAAACACTGTTTCGCTTTTCCAAAAGACTTGAATATGTTGATTGAATTCAGCAGTATTTGAAAACTTCATAGGAAGTATACGAATACTTATGAAGTTTTTTCTTTCAAAATGTTATCATTTAACATAATGTTAAGAAAATTCATAAATTTTATTTTCATTGTCGAATTTGATTCGTTGAAGAAAGGGGGCTTATTTTATTGTTTCGCGCAATTAGGGTTTAGCTAACATTTTACATTGTGTATTATTTGAACCCTCGTTCGTGTGATCCGCAGAAAATTTATCTTAAAGAAGTTAGTAAAATATAAAAGAAACATGTTTTAATTATAAACAAATATTGATAAAAATTACACAGGTTTACAAAAAAAAGTGTATGCATATTAAACCAAACCTATATATCCCTATGTTATTCGACAGGCTGAATGCGAATCCGAGGTCCGTTAGCCTCTATCACGTCAGGTTCGTGGTCAGTTGAACGTCAAGCAGGGAAAAATGCATTGAATAAACCTGAAAATTCATATATGTGGGGTTTTAGAACCCGAATCAGAGGTCCGTTAACCTCCATAGTGTCAGGTTCGAGGTCAGTTGAGGGTCAAATAGGACAAAAAGTTTATTCAATTAAAATAATGTTTTTTTGTTTTAGTTGTCGCTGAATCCGAATATGGGGGTCCCTTGATTCCTCAAGGTCATCTATACGAATTTATTGAACTTCCAGGTTTATTCAATGAATTTTTCCCTACTTGGCCTTCAACTGACCACAAATTGACGTGGTGGGGGCTAACGGGTTTCGCATTCAGCGTGTCAAATAACATAGAGATATATATAGGTTTGGTTTAATATGCATACACTTTTTTTCTAAACCTGTGTTATTAAGCTATCACCATTAAATTTAGCATCAGCAATGGAAACTGAAAGCCAACCATCCAAAATCCCACCAATGCGCAAATTAAAACAAAAATTTCAAACGGAGAATATAAATTGGTACAAAGGCAAGGTAGAAGCAGGGTGTGGGAGTTTTACGCAGGAATTCAAAATGAAGACGGACAAGAAATCGACAATATTGTGGCATGTAAAAGGTGTAACAGCGTTCTAAAACTCAACGACAAAAGCACGTCAAATTTGTTGAAGCACAAATGCTATCTCATTTCTAGTAGTAGTAGTAGATAACGAGTCCAAAAAAAATGTGCACGCGTTGTAACACAGTGGGCAATTGAGAACTGCAGATCTTTTAAAATTATATCTGATATGTACATCGCAATTTGGTTATGATCGGTGAAGCAGTTTGGTAAAAAATAACGTTTCTTCTTTAACAGGTCATCCGCAGATAACCCATATGGAATGCTTATTCATCCCATATTTTAAAACGCTCCTTCGAGGTGTTGCTGTGGGAGTCCCTTTGGTCTCTCGCTCGGCATTGGGCTAGCTGGGTATTAGCCTTGATAATTCCCTACATTGTTTTTCCATGTCTGTTAACATTATGTAGTATTTATTAAACGAAAACTTCCAAAAATACTCAAAAAATACTTGTGAAGGAACATATTTTTTGTGGAAGTTTAACACCATAGTACTGCTTGTTTATGTTTTTCTTTTTTTCGGAACATATTTTGTTTGAGTACTTTTTTCATGTATACAGTGCTCAAAATTTTCACTTCTCTTCCTTCCATGCCCTCTTTGTTAAAGTATGAGTAGTTTACATATTTGAAAAAACTTCACAGTGAAGCAAACTGAATTCCGATGCAGACCTTTAGTACATACATATTATTCATTTCTGCAAAAAAACTTGCTTTACCCCCACTTTATTGGGGAACATCGAGTAGTCCTTTCCTATCGAAGTACGGTAAAAGACGCTTGATATTCTCCTGCACTCTCTTATTGGTATATAAGATAGCTCTAAAATTAGACGCACTTTCATCGTCACCCACAAGATTTTTT